ACTCGCCAGCGCGCAGCACGACACGACAAGAGCGACGACGCAATAGTCGCAGCAGTTTCTCGAGGCTCCGAAACCACGCCCACCTGAGCCATTCGATTCGAGCGATCAAAATTCCGACGCCCACAGATGGATCGCCGGCATGGAGATCTACTTCGCAGCCGTCGGATGGAGCTCGCCAGTCTGGGACGGTCAACGCGACTCGCGGCGACACTGATGCGAGGACCGGCACTCGAGTGGATCGGCGGTAACAGTACCTTCATCCACGACGAAGCCACGTGGCAGCAGTTCCGCACCGACCTGGTGAAACGCTTCGAGCTGATAAATTCAGGTTTCCTTGCCCGGGAAAAAAAATCATCGCCATCGACAGTTCGGGAGTTTAGCGCAGTACACGCAACGGATGGAGGAATTTAATAACCGCATTCCTGATCTGACCGAAGGGGAAAAAGTACAGTCGTATCTCATCGGGCTGAAGACCGAAGTCAAACGACAGGTATCAGCGACAAATTACGCGAGCTACAGTGACGTCGTTTCGGCAGCAGAGCGGTTTGACATGTTCAACGCCAGAACATGACGGGCACACGTCGGCAGTACGTGACAGGGCGGTTCGCCCCACGTTCGCCAGAACATCGACAGTACCCCACGTTCGCCGACCGGATGGAAATCGAGAGGTTCGACGGGCGGTCACGTCCGAAAAACACCAACTACACGTGTGATTTTTGCGGGGTGCCGGGCCATCGAATCTTCGACTGCAACAAAATGAAAGCCACACGAGCAGAGTATCGGGCGCGCAACAGTGGTGGAAATTCTTCGGCCAATCAGAAGACAAAAAACGGAATTCGCCAGTGATTGCGGATCTAGCTGGCGAAAAAGAAAAGATCCGGAAGCGGCCGCGGGATTCCAGGAAAATGGACTTCAACGAAGCTGATTCGACGCGAGCAGGAGGAAATGAGGGGGAAAACCTCCACCCCACGACCAGTCTTCGCCAGAGAAAATCGTTGAGAAAAAATCTGACTCCGTGAAAAAGGACTCTGCCGAGACGGGGAAACTCCGAGAAGACCCAAGAAATTATAAGGATTCGTTAAAGTTATCTTATAAAGATGCTTTGATGAAAACTTATGATTCTCGAGGGGCTAGAGCCTTGGAGAAATTTCGGGAGGGACTCCAAAAGAAGCAGAAACTTGTGGATATCATACCGGTACCGGAAAACTTGGGGACAAAATTAAGGAGTGTGTCCTAGAGGGCGGACACGGTTGGGTGGAGATTACAGCGCGCATTAGGCAAACCGAAGCGAGAACTGGAGCAACACGTCAATGCATCGTAAATCAAACGCTAAACAAGAACGTATGAAAAGCAGAGCTCAAGGGTGAGAAGGGTTTCACGTGCGGGAGTTGTCGAGTCGCAGCCGAATTTCTCAAACCAACCTGGGTAGGAACGACGGACATGAGCCTTCAAGTATCGGTTCACAGCTACGTCGAGAGGTTGGACCATCGGGGTGCAGCCGCCAGGTATCACGACACGTCAGAGTTTGAAGAAACGCATCAACGCCGCCACCCCCTCGGTCAGATGGCCTTTGTAGGAGTCGAGGATGATGAGAGCATTTTACCGCTTGCCACGGCGCGCAAGAAGTCGCTTCAGAAAGGGGACGAGGACCGTCGTAATCCAGTCCCTCACGTGGTCCTCATCCATCCATCCCTTCTCCTATGCGCGGATGACAATTCCTGCGTGCAATAATGAAAGAACCAAACAGCGTAGTGTTAGTTTCTAACTCCGGTACATGTAACACTTAGTCACATCAAGACCGAGTCGATACTGACCTGGCGGGACTCGAATCTTCGGGAGCGTCTTGCACTTGAAGACCACATACGGCTTGAGCTTCTGCCCGCCAGCAGTGACCGCCAGCATGGCAGTCAGCCGCTCCTTTTCATAGCCAGCAGTGCGAACATGTATAGTCCATGAACTGCGGACTTCCACTGTAGACTCTTGGGGCATTTCCAGGAACAAGGGTGTCTGATCGGCGTTGATGATCAAGTCGTCGGCATACTTGTTGAGTGTGCGCATCTGGCGCATGAACTCCCTGAACTTCTCGACTTTAGCCTCGCAATCTGCAAAACGAGGAGACAACATACGATGCAAGTGTACATGCTTTAGTTCTTACAACTCAATGAATGGGAAACCGCAAGTGAAATTGCTACAGAGCTCGCATATAAAAAGCATAACGCACCATTGGTTAGGCACTGGCCCATCTTTGTTTTGACGCGCCGTGTCAATCCCCAACAGGTGCGGAACCGGAAGGTCCAATGGGATGACGTACCCCAGTCGACACCGGAATGGCGCTTCCGCATGAAATTCCTACTCCATTTCTGTAGACAATTGACCGACACCGCCAAGCCGCGCTCACGGTGTGAGAGGAAGCGGTTGTACATCTCCTTCTCCATGTCGGGGAACTTTGCCTTGCGTCCAGCACCGATGAGACGACGCCTGCATCCCGCCACCGCCGACAGCCGCGCCTTGTTCTTCTTCCAGTCGCGTATCTGACGGGGTTATACCTCGGCCATCTTCGCCAACTTGCGATTCGAAAGCTTTGGGTCGGAGTCGAGATGAGCCAACCAATATAGCTTTTCCGCCTTTGTGCGCGCGACTCTCTTGCGCCTGGTCCTGCGATTCTGGGGGAGGGAGGTGCAGCATCCCGGTTAACTCGCGGCATGTGGGGGCGACGAATGGGCTGAAGGAAAGATGGAACAATGACACGAGGAAGTGTCGGGGGTGGCTCTGGCTCTCCGTCGGCAACATCTTCCCAGTGTAGCTCATCATCGTCTGGCCAGTCGTTGTCCCACTCCTCGGGACGACTAGCAATTGGAGACGATGGATAGGGAGGTGCAGGAGGAGCAGGTGGGGCAGGAGGTGCCGGAGGCACGGGATGCTCAGACGGTGCTGGCGGCGCAGGTGGTGCTGGAGGAATCGACGGAAACGGACGGAGAAGAAACTGACTACCGTGGGGAGGACGATGGGTTCGCAAAACTGAGAGGCCGCTAACAGCACGGGCCGCCATTGCTGAATCTCTGCCTACAAAATCGCCTCGGCGGACTAACGCCCGAGGCTCTGTTAGAGAGCTTGGACATTGCGAGGGCTTTCTGCTGGGAAGACAATACTGGAACGCTAAAATGACGCAACGACAAGAAACGGATGAACAAGAAATGTGGGTCGACCCCCTTCCCGAGCTACGCACGGTTCTTGACAGCGATGGTCTGGTCATGAGGGCATCTTGAGATGCCATATTCCGTCGCAGGTCTTGCGCTGGCAGCATCTCGTGCACCTAGCCGTGCACTCGCAGCGCTGGCAGCCGATGGCAGCAATCCGCTGGCTGTTGGCAGCTGCGGCTGTCAGGGATTGGCCACAAATCCTATAGCCCACGCCGAGTTTGACACGTTGGCATGGCCATCCTCTCATCCAAACAGCGCAAAACACCATAACAGAAACCCAATGCATGTATAAGCCCAGAAACAATCAGATTTAAAATGAATCATACATAACACATGTGCGTTATATTTTTCCAGGCCACTATTAAAGTGAGAAGATATAATAATGACCCCCCTTTCTTGTTGGGCCCAGTTTGATAGGGGATGTACAGTAGGCAAAACGAGCCCGGCGCACGAACGTCAGAATGGAATTCCATTTCCCCCCTGGGCTGCTGACCGCCCATGGAGGTGTGGCAACACAACGAAAAAACAATGTGGACGACATGACCAGAGCACCTAGCGACCCGGACGACTCATGTCAGCGGGCTGCAAGAACACGCGCCAATCAGAAACAGGTACCATACACCCCCAAAACAAAAACAACTCAAGAGTTCCAACATGTCGTGAACCCATGTGAGGGACCTAGGATTACGAGTATTCCAACAATAAAAAAGGGAACAGATACAAAGTCGTCGCATTGCTAGTGACGCCGTACCCATTCAACAGTGCGTGCCCGGTTTATAGAGGCCTAAGATAACCAGAAACGTACGCCAACCTGTCTCTGCTATAAAAGTCGTCAGCTGCATCGGGAAACGCGGTAGCCACAAACACCGGATGTGCGGCCCAACCATAGGCTTCCCGGGCTCCCCTTCTACCTCGTCACGCTAGCCATTGCATGCGGCACGCGTGCAGACAAGGTCGGCGCTAATCTGCCCTGTGACCGAGGTGCAAAGAAAACGAGGTCCCCGCGCAAGGCGCGGAATCGAGAGACTACGCGCCTCGCACCTCGAGCCACGCGCTGTGGGCTCGTTGCTCGCCGCCGACTAAACCTAATCTTGAGATGGCGCGGGAGCTCCAGCCTCCCCACCCGCCAGCCAGTAAGCACATCCCACGAGAGGAGGCCAGGAGGAAAAAGAGGGGTGGCTACGGCAAAAAGTGCGGGGGTGAGGGGGTTAAACTGAGAGGAGGGCGGGGGGAAAGGGAGAGAAGGGCAGGGGGAAAGGGAGAAGAGGGCAGGAGGAAATGGATAGGAGGGCAGGGGGAAAGGGAGAGGAGGGGAGGGGGAAAGGGAGAGGAGGGCACGGGGAAAGGTAGAGAAGGGCAGGGGGAAAGGGAGAGGAGGACAGGGGGAAAGGAAGAGAAGGGCAGGGGGAAAGGGAGAGGAGGGGAGGGGGAAAGGGAGGGGAGGGCAGGGGGAAAGGGAGAGGGGGGCAGGGGGAAAGGGAGAGAAGGGCAGGGGGAAAGGGAGAGAAGGGCAGGGGGGAAAGGGAGAGGAGGGCAGGGCGAAAGGGAGAGGAGGGGAGGGGGAAAGGGAGAGGAGGGCAGAGGGAAGGGGAGAGGAGGTCAGGGGGAAAGGGAGAGGAGGGCAGGAGGAAAGAGAGAGGAGGGCAGGGGGAAATGGAGAGGATGGCAGGGGGAAAGGGAGAGAAAGGCAGGGGGAAAGGGAGAGGAGGGCACGGGGAAAGGGAGAGGAGGGCAGGGGGAAAGAGAGAGGAGGGCAGGGGGAAATGGAGAGGATGGCAGGGGGAAAGGGAGAAGAGGGCAGGAGGAAATGGAGAGGATGGCAGGGGGAAAGGGAGAGGAGGGGAGGGGGAAAGGGAGAGGAGGGCATGGGGAAAAGGGAGAGAAGGGCAAGGGGAAAGGGAGAGAAGGGCAGGGGGAAAGGGAGGGGAAGGCAGGTGGAAAGGGAGAGAAGGGCAGGGGGAAAGGGAGAGAAGGGCAGGCGGAAAGGGAGAGGAAGGGAGGGAGAAAGGGAGAGGAGGGCAGGGGGCAGGGGAGAGGAGGGCAGGGAGAAATGGAGAGGAGGGCAGGGGGAAAGGGAGAGGAGGGCAGGGGGAAAGGGAGAGGAGGGCAGGGGGAAAGGGAGAGAAGGGCAGGGGGAAAGGGAGAGAAGGGCAGGGGGAAAGGGAGAGAAGGGCAGGGGGAAGGGAGAGAAGGGCAGGGGGAAAGGGAGAGGAAGGCAGGGGGAAAGGGAGAGAAGGGCAGGGGGAAAGGGAGAGGAAGGCAGTGGGAAAGGGAGAGAAGGGCAGGGGGAAAGGGAGAGAAGGGCGGGGGGAAAGGGAGAGGGGGCAGGGGGAAAGGGAGAGGAGGGCAGGGAGAAAGGGAGAGGAAGGCAGGGGGAAAGGGAGAGGATGGCAGGGGGAAAGGGAGAGAAGGGCAGGGGGAAAGGGAGAGAAGGGCAGGGGGAAAGGGAGAGGAAGGGAGGGGGAAAAGGAGAGGAGGGCAGGGGGAAGGGGAGAGGAGGGCAGGGAGAAATGGAGAGGAGGGCAGGAGGAAATGGAGAGGAGGGCAGGGGGAAAGGGAGAGGGGGGCAGGGGGAAAGGGAGAGAGGGCAGGGCGAAAGGGAGAGGAAGGCCGGGGGAAAGGGAGAGGAGGGCAGGGGGAAAGGGAGAGGAGGGCACGGGGAAAGGGAGAGGAGGGCAGGGGGAAAGAGAGAGGAGGGCAGGGGGAAATGGAGAGGATGGCAGGGGGAAAGGGAGAGGGGGGCAGGGGGAAAGGGAGAGAAGGGCAGGGGGAAAGGGAGAGAAGGGCAGCGGGAAGGGGAGAGAAGGGCAGGGGGAAAGGGAGAGGAAGGGAGGGGGAAAGGGAAAGGAGGGTAGTGGGAAGGGGAGAGGAGGGCAGGGGGAGGGAGAGGAGGGCAGGGGGAAAGAGAGAGGAGGGCAGGGGGAAATGGAGAGGATGGCAGGGGGAAAGGGAGAGGGGGGCAGGGGGAAAGGGAGAGAAGGGCAGGGGGAAAGGGAGAGAAGGGCAGGGGGAAAGGGAGAGAAGGGCGGGGGGAAACGGAGAGGAGGGCAGGGGGAAAGGGAGAGGAGGGCAGGGGGAAAGGGAGAGGAGGGCAGGGGAAAGGGAGAGGAGGGCAGGGGGAAAGGGAGAGAAGGGTAGGGGGAAAGGGAGAGAAGGGCAGGGGGAAAGGGAGAGGAGGGCACGGGGAAAGGGAGAGGAGGGCAGGGGGAAGGGGAGAGGAGGGCAGGGAGAAATGGAGAGGAGGGCAGGGGGAAATGGAGAGGAGGGCAGGGGGAAAGGGAGAGGGGGGCAGGGGGAAAGGGAGAGAAGGCCAGGGCGAAAGGGAGAGGAGGGCAGGGGGAAGGGGAGAGGAGGGCAGGGAGAAATGGAGTGGAGGGCAGGGGGAAATGGAGAGGAGGGCAGGGGGAAAGGGGGAGGGGGGCAGGGGGAAAGGGAGAGAAGGGCAGGGGGAAAGAGAGAGGAGGGCAGGGGGAAATGGAGAGGATGGCAGGGGGAAAGGGAGAGGGGGGCAGGGGGTAAGGGAGAGAAGGGCAGGGGAAAAGGGAGAGGAGGGCAGGGGAAAAGCGAGTGGAGGCCAGGGGGAAACGGAGAGGATGGCATGGGGAAAGGGAGAGGGGGGCAGGGGGAAAGGGAGAGAAGGGCAGGGGGAAAGGGAAAGGAAGGCAGGGGGAAAGGGAGAGAAGGGCAGGGGGAAAGGGAGAGAAGGGCAGGGGGAAAGGGAGAGGAGGGCAGGGGGAAAGGGAGAGGAGGGCAGGGGGAAAGGGAGAGAAGGGTAGGGGGAAAGGGAGAGAAGGGCAGGGGGAAAGGGAGAGGAGGGCACGGGGAAAGGGAGAGGAGGGCAGGGGGAAGGGGAGAGGAGGGCAGGGAGAAATGGAGAGGAGGGCAGGGGGAAATGGAGAGGAGGGCAGGGGGAAAGGGAGAGGGGGGCAGGGGGAAAGGGAGAGAAGGCCAGGGCGAAAGGGAGAGGAAGGCAGGGGGAAAGGGAGAGGAGGGCAGGGGGAAAGGGAGAGGAGGGCACGGGGAAAGGGAGAGGAGGGCAGGGGGAAAGAGAGAGGAGGGCAGGGGGAAATGGAGAGGATGGCAGGGGGAAAGGGAGAGGGGGGCAGGGGGAAAGGGAGAGAAGGGCAGGGGGAAAGGGAGAGAAGGGCAGGGGGAAAGGGAGAGGAAGGCAGGGGGAAAGGGAGAGAAGGGCAGGGGGAAAGGGAGAGAAGGGCAGGGGGAAAGGGAGTGGAGGGGAGGGGGAAAGGGAGAGGAGGGCAGGGGGAAGGGGAGAGGAGGGCAGGGAGAAATGGAGTGGAGGGCAGGGGGAAAGGGGGAGGGGGCAGGGGGAAAGGGAGAGAAGGGCAGGGGGAAAGGGAGAGGAGGGCAGGGGGAAAGGGAGAGAAGGGCAGGGGGAAAGGGAGAGAAGGGCGGGGGGAAAGGGAGAGGAGGGCAGGGGGAAAGGGAGAGGAGGGCAGGGGGAAAGGGAGAGGAGGGCAGGGGGAAAGGGAGAGAAGGGCAGGGGGAAAGGGAGAGAAGGGCAGGGGGAAAGGGAGAGGAAGGGAGGGGGAAAGGGAGAGGAGGGCAGGGGGAAGGGGAGAGGAGGGCAGGGAGAAATGGAGAGGAGGGCAGGGGGAAGGGGAGAGGATGGCAGGGAGAAAGGGAGTGGAGGGCGTGGGGGAAGGGAGAGGATGGCAGGGAGAAAGGGAGTGGAGGGCAGGGAGAAAGGGAGTGGAGGGCAGGGGGAAAGGGAGAGGAGGGCAGGGGGGAAAGGGAGAGGAGGGCAGGGGGAAAGGGAGAGAAGGGCAGGGGGAAAGGGAGTGGAGGGCAGGGGGGAAGGGAGTGGAGGGCAGTGGAAAAGAGAGAGAAGGGCAGGGGGAAATGGAGAGAAGGGCAGGGGAAAAGGGAGTGGAGGGAAGGGGAAAAGGGAGGGCAGGGCAGGGGGAAGGGGAGAGGATGGCTGGGGGAAAGGGAAAAGGAGGTATAGAACCCACACATGTCAACTGTGCCCCCTAAGTCTCTCTTGCTCCCTCTGCTCTCTCTGCCCTCTATGCGTGTGTGTCTCCTGCAGTCGCTGCATCCGGGTCAAGACGGGTGCGGAGGCGCACCGGACTCGTCCCAACGGTGCACCATCCGCTATGGTGCTGGTCGCCGGACGCCTTGGGGAGGGAATATCCAAAGCAGAAAACTTTGTTACAGAGTTGGGCAGCAAATTGGCTGGGGCTAAGGGGTGAGAATGAGACCGGTCGTCGGCGACTCACCGTGGAAAACATGATTCGTGTGTGTTTGGGGGGAAACACCCCTGAGAGCTGCAATGGAGTACCGTTGCAACCGAAGCACCACCGTTTCCGATGTTACGTCACTTACTCGCGCCTCCTACGTGACCATCGATACGCTAGGGTTGAATTGCCTTGGCTGATCTATGTGGTGATCGGATCACTGTACCCAGAGGATAGTGTTGAGGGGTACGAGCACTGTACCCCAGAGGAAGTGGACTATTTCGTGCACCGTTGGTCTGCGGTCGATGATATAAACTTTGCAGCCATGGAGTGGCGGGATTTGTTAGCACCTGCAACTGGCTAGTGGTGCGCTAGTAGGGCAATACTCGAAGAAGCTGTGGCTCCCAATGTTAGTGAAAGCAACAGCTGGAGGCTATATGTAACAATCACTGTGTTATGAATTGTGTGAGAGATACTAGCATATGCAACCAATTAGAAGGACGGGATGTAAAGTTACATACACTCAAGCCCTGGTTTTCACTTCGTATAACACGCTGTGAACAAGCGTTCTTTTGTCAACTATAAAATTAGGTATTGTTGGAGAGGGGTTACAGGAAAAGCAACCTGCTACTGCAGCACGAACAAGTCAGGGTTCACAATGCTCGGGTATAATATGCAAACGAGTGACGCGGGTCTGTCAACTAAGGATTTCGGAAACGTTTGGCAACAAAACTGTCGTGTCCCCAATGTCCCGCTATGTACCCCCATATGCAGCTGGCGAACAAGAAACTCCCCCCAACACCCATCCGAGCATGCACTCTGGCCCTCCGCACTGGGCTCGCAACCGCATGGTGAACGCCCCTGATGAATCTGTGCCTGCTGGTGGGCATCGTTGGTGCACAGCATGCGCAATAACATGTGGGGGAAAAGGGAGAAGCTGGGAGATAAAGGAGGCGAACACGTGCGTACGGCAAAACGCGACTCACAGTCACGCTGTCTCTGGCCTTCCAAGTGTCAAACCGACGCCCCCCCTCCATGTTAACCAAGTGCCATGCCTCATAGCTGCCTAACCTCGCATTCCCCTTTCTTTCACACTCTCCACCTACCATATCTCCACCTTATCTCCCCTTTTAAAAATCTTTGGGCTGTATAACGCGGCACAATAACATCCCCAACTCTCCATTTCCCCCCATTCATCTGGGAGGTCTAAAAAATAGAGATAGAGAGAGATGTAGGAACTAGCTACGTAGCAGGTGGGTCGTAACCATAGATAGGGGGGAAATGGGGGAGGTCGAGAGGGAACTCGTGGGGGGTGGACAAGGAACAAATCAGGGGGGATAGGGGCTGGCCTAACAAAACAAGAGCGGGGATGAGTGGAAATCGAGCGAGCGTGGGGCTCCAATTAACATGCAAGTACCGTACCATATTGTGTCAGCCTTGGAAGCGTCGCGGCTGCTTATGGGGTGGAACAAACGGGTTTCGAACAGAGCGGCGCACCAACCCTGCGTGTCAATGGTTGGGAAGAAGACGGCTGAAAACACATGAGGGGTTGAAGAGAGTGGGCATAAAGTGGAGAGATAGTGAGAAGACCATGACAAGAGTTTAATTAAAGGCAGAGAGGCATCAAAATTATATATGGACAAAAAGATGGGAAGAATGTAATAATGGGAGAGGTAGAGCGGGAAGAGAGTGAACAAAGAGGGGAAAGAGCAGAGAGGGAGCTAGAAGAGGGTGGAAAAGAGAGTGGGATCAGTTGGAAAGAGTGAGGGAGAGTGGAAGGGGTTAAAGAGAGTGGGCATTGAGTGGGAAGATAGAGGGGAGACCATGGCAAGAGTTTAATAAAAGGTGGAAAGGCAACAAAAAGTATATGGAGCAAAAGATGGAAAGAATGTAAGAAAGGGGGAGAGAGAGCAGGGAGAGAGTGAACAAAGAGGGGAAAGAGCTGGGAGGGAGCATAGAGTGGGGAGAGCATGGGGAGACCATGGCAAGAGTTTAATAAATGGCACAGAGACAACAAAAAATATGTGCAAGAGGGAAAAAAACAAATAAAGTGACGGAAACGAGCAGCGAGGGATGGAGAGGAGGGTGGAGGAGAGAGTGGGATCAGTTGGAGAGAGTGAGGGAGAGTGGAAGGGGTTAAAGAGAGTCGGCAGAGAGTGGGGAGAAAGAGGGGAGATCATGGCAAGAGTGGGGAAAACACATTAGGGGTTACGAGAAGGGAACAAAGTCGTGGAGGAACAAAACAAAAACCAGGGGGGAAGTGCACACACACCCACTGTTAAGCGCGCAAGCCACTACCGAGATTGGGTGGCGGGTCCTCAAGGTGCCTGTGCAGCCACCCGGCGCCAATCACTGAAAATGTCGTCACACCAGTGCCAGCTCATCGGCCCAAGCACACGGCTCCTCTTCCCATGGCGCACGCGTGTTGCACGGCGATGCCTCACAATGTGCCGTAAGACCAGACGCTCCACGGTATTGTTCCAGTGGATGATAGCGAGAGCAATTCTCGCCTCCATGCTCCAGCGGAAACGGATGCGTTTCGGGGCGTACTTGCAAATTACGGAGTGGAATGACTCATTCAACCAGCTGCATGCGCCAAGTACAAAGGGCTGCATCTTCTCCTCACTGCAGTGCTTCTGCAGCCATGCCATAAACGCCTTGTGTGTCGTGCTGTCAGGCAAATACACGGCACACTCTGGGCCCCACGCATCGGCCATGCATGTGGGCACAATGCCATGGCGAGCACACCTGGAGTGATCCCCGGCCCAGTGCTCTGCCGCTATAGCCAACTCCAAAGCCACTTCGGCCGCAGTCATGGGCCTGCCCTCGGCAGCGAGCGTGGCACACCGCACCGCACCGCCGGAGGCTATATGTAACAATCTCCTCTCATCTTGTAGGCTCCCTTATCTCCCTCTACCCTTCTCTCCCGCTTCCCTTATCTCCCTCTACCCTTCTCTCCCGCTGCCTCTCTCTCTCTCTCTCTCCCCTTCTCTCTCGCTACCATCCTCTCCTGCTCCCCTTCTCCGCCTCTCCCCTCATCTCTTAGGCTCCCTTATCTCCCGCTCTCCTTCTCTCCCGCTCCCCTTCTCTCCCGCTGCCCTTCCCTCTCTCTTCCCTTCTCTCTCACTCCCATTCTCTCCTGCTCCCCTTCTCTGCCTCTCCCCTTATCTCTTAGGCTCCCCTTCTCTCCAGCTCCCCTTCTCTCCCGCTCTCCTTCTCTCCCGCTCCCCTTCTCTCCCACTGCCCTTCTCTCCCGCTGCCCTTCTCTCTCTCTCTTCCCTTCTCTCTCGCTCCCATTCACTCCTGCTCCCCTTCTCTGCCTCTCCTCTCATCTCATAGGCTCCCTTATCTCCCTCTACCCTTCACTCCTGCTTCCCTTATCTCCCTCTACCCTTCTCTCCCACTGCCCTTATCTCTCTCTCTCTCCCCTTCTCTCTCGCTACCATCCTCTCCTGCTCCCCTTCTCCGCCTCTCCCCTCATATCTTAGGCTCCCTTATCTCCCGCTCCCCTTCTCTCCCACTCCCCTTCTCTCCCGCTTCCCTTCTCTCTCTCTTCCCTTCTCTCTCGCTCCCATTCTCTCCTGATCCCCTTCTCTGCCTCTCCCCTCGTCTCTTAGGCTCCCCTTATCTCCCTCTACCCTTCTCTCCCGCTCTCCTTCTCTCCCGCTCCCCTTCTCTCTCTCTCCCCTTCTCTCTCGCTACCATCCTCTCCTGCTCCCCTTCTCTGCCTCTCCCCTTATCTCTTAGGCTCCCCTTCTCTCCCGCTCCCCTTCTCTCCCGCTCCCCTTCTCTCCCGCTGCCCTTCTCTCTCTCTTCCCTTCTCTCTCACTCCCATTCTCTCCTGCTCCCCTTCTCTGCCTCTCCCCTCATCTCGTAGGCTCCCTTATCTCCCTCTACCCTTCTCTCCCGCTGCCCTTCTCTCTCTCTCTCCCCTTCTCTCTCGCTACCATCGTCTCCTGCTCCCCTTCTCCGCCTCTCCCCTCATCTCTTAGGCTCCCTTATCTCCCACTCGCCTTCTCTCCTGCTGCCCTTCTCTCTCTCTTCCCTTCTCTCTCGCTCCCATTTTCGCCTGCTCCCCTTCTCTGCCTCTCCCCTTATCTCTTAGGCTCCCCTTCTCTCCAGCTCCCCTTCTCTCCCGCTCTCCTTCTCTCCCACTCCCCTTCTCTCCCGCTGCCCTTCTCTACCGCTGACCTTCTCTCTCTCTCTTCCCTTCTCTCTCACTCCCATTCTCTCCTGCTCCACTTCTCTGCCTCTCCCCTCATCTCGTTGGCTCCCTTATCTCCCTCTACCCTTCTCTCCCGCTGCCCTTCTCTCTCTCTCTCTCTCCCCTTCTCTCTCGCTACCATCCTCTCCTGCTCCCCTTCTCCGCCTCTCCCCTCATCTCTTAGGCTCCCTTATCTCCCACTCTCCTTCTCTCCCGCTCCCCTTCTCTCCTGCTGCCCTTCTCTCTCTCTTCCCTTCTCTCTCGCTCCCATTCTCTCCTGCTCCCCATCTCTGCCTCTCCCCTTATCTCTTAGGTTCCCCTTCTCTCCAGCTCCCCTTCTCTCCCGCTATCCTTCTCTCCCGCTCCCCTTCTCTCACGCTGCCCTTCTCTCCCTCTGCCCTTTCCTCTTTCTCTTCCCTTTTCTCTCGCTCCCATTCTCTCCTGCTCCCCTTCTCTGCCTCTCCCCTCATCTCTTAGGCTCCCTTCTCTCCCGCTGCCCTTCTCTCTCTCTCTTCCCTTCTCTCTCGCTCCCATTCTCTCCAGCTCCCCTTCTCTGCCTCTCCCCTTATCTCTTAGGCTCCCCTTATATCCAGCTCCCCTTCTCTCCCGCTCCCCTTCTCTCCCGCTTCCCTTCTCTCTCTCTTCCCTTCTCTCTCTCTCTCTCCCCTTCTCTCCCGCTGCCATTCTCTCTCTCTCTCCCCTTCTCTCTCGCTCCCATTCTCTCCTGCTCCCCTTCTCTGCCTTTCCCCTCATCTCTTAGGCTCCCTTATCTCCCTCTACCCTTCTCTCCCGCTGCCCTTCTTTCTCTCTCTTCCTTTGTCTCTCGCTCCCATTCTCTCCAGCTCCCCTTCTCTGCCTCTCCCCTCATCTCATAGGCTCCCTTATCTCCCGCTCCCCTTCTCTCCGGCTCCCCTTCTCTCCCGCTGCCCTTGTCTCTCTCTCCCCTTTTCTTTCGCTCCCATCCTCTCCAGCTCCCCTTCTCTGCCTCTCCCCTCATCTCTTAGGCTCTTCTTCTCTCCCGCTTCCCTTCTGTCCCGCTTCCCATCTCTCCCGCTGCCCTTCTTCTCTCTCTTCCCTTCCCTCTCGCTCCCATTCTCTCCAGCTCCGCTTCTCTGCCTCTCCCCTCATCTCTTAGACTCCCCTTATCTCCAGCTCCCCTTCTCTCCCGCTCCCGTTCTCTCCCGCTTCCCTTCTCTCTCTCTCTTCCCTTCTCTCTCTCTCTTCCCTTCTCTCCTGCTGCCCTTCTCTCTCTCTCTCTCCCCT